TTTTTCACCCTGAAATAGTATTAAACAAAAAGAGGGAATGTTGATATGAATGATTTAAATGATCGATTGAAATTAAAGAATGATGCAAATTTAGAAGGTAATATTAGCTCAAACATTTCAATTATACCGGTTAATAGTTGTTGTTGATCATTTATTTATTTTTTTTTTCTCAAATAAAATGTAAGAATATTTGGTGAAAAATGAAGTGTGAATAAATTTGTTGGGAAAATTTGATGTGTAATATTTGAGAAATTGAGGTAAAAAGGGATCGATTGGTAAATTATAACAATACCGGGAGGGAGGGCAAAGCGCAAAATGGTGAGAGAGTAATTCCGGTAGTTTGAAAGCTTTCTGTTCACCTCTAACCTAATAGAGGTCATCCATTAATTGTGTTCATGCATTTGGTACACTTCACTGATCATAAAGCCATTACTACATTTTCTTGCTGCTAAACATTATTACTAATATGTTTATGGATAATGGTGTTTGAATTCTTTATGGGATCATTTTATCGTTTTATTGCAAAATTTCAATTTTTCGTACCTTATACATTTCATTGAATTAGAGAATTAAAATTAATTACTGAAAAATTATGTATGAAAAAAAAATCTGCCAACAAAAAAAAAATTGCTAACTTAAAAAATTTGCTGAAAATTTCAAAATAAACTGAAATTGATAAAAGTTTTGCATGACTGGAATAAATATAAAATATTATTGTATAAAATCTTTCTTCATATTAAAAAGGTTTAAATTTCATTTTTAATAAATTTGTTATGAATTTTTGGTCTTATTGCTTGAAGTATGTTCCATTTTATTTTCTCATTTCCTTCGAAATGCTTAGCTCTTATTCAATTATTAGGAAAGATCTATTTTCAGGAAAAGCAAAGAGATTCGTTCCCTTTGCTAAATTTAAATCAACAACCATCTTTTCAGTTCATTTATATTCGTTCTCTCCTTTTTTTTTTTGAGATATGCGCACATTTCATTTTTCGTTTTCAACTCTTTTAATGGCAGCAATTTTGTCGCATTTTCTCATTTAATGAAGAATTTTCTTATAAGAATTCCGTTTTTTCTTTTTTTCTTATCGATTCAATTTCTAATCTTAAACGTTTTGCAAATTTCATTTTTCGTTTTAAGTAAGGTAAGTTTTTTGATATAATATTAGCTGGAAGTTTTGAAATGTCTTTTTTAATTTAATAAATTTATAATAAATTATTCCTTTCATTGAATTTCAAAAATGTTGCTAGAAATCATTTTGCAATTTCCATTCATTTTTTTCTAGGCTATACGAAAAAGATTTTTCTTTTTCTCTTCTTATTTATAATGGATAGAATGAAATAATAATAACTAATAAATGATCTAAAATTAGGAAAAGTAAGTCCATTTAGAAGTAACAATTTCCATTGTTACATTTTATTTTAGTGATCCAAATAGGTATAATATTGCATAATTCGAAAATTCTATTATTTAAATACACGAAATTCAGTCTAATCTATTCATATTTTATACCAGTAATTTATTTCATCTTTTATATGCTTGCAATCTTTTTGGAAAATAATAAATGAATTATCGACTGGAATTTCCAGTTATATGAAAATAATATCGGTAGGAATAATTTTAGAAATGATGATATTTTCATAATTCTTTCTTAACAGCTCCAATTATCTATGACTGGTTAAAGAATATTAAAATTTCAGTAAAATATCTTTACTGCACCATTTTTTTCCTCTTTTTTTATCATTACATGTATTCTTCGAGATCAAAGGATATGTGAAACAGTTACTTGCAAGATTCCATAATATGATGAATGGATTCAGTAGTTACATATTAGTTCTTCACTTAAAATTCCTGAGGCTATTGAAATAACTTTTAAATTTCTAAGTTTTCTTTTTTTTTCTGTAGAATCAGTGGGACGATCAAATGATTTGAAATTTGGAAGAAAGCTTAAACAGGAAGATGCAGAAATTGGAACTGTAACAGAAAGAATATCTGAGTTAGATATGGTACCAAAACCGTACGATGATCTATTTATTGAGCCAGCTGGCGATTACGATGTTGTTTATGCTGATTACAATGCAACGTGAGTTTTGTTTTTCTTTGTTTTCACTTTTATCAATTTAATTTAAAACGGAAAAAATTCTAGAATTTCTTTCGAGAAATGTATTTTTTCGAACATTTTATCTTACTGAACATTTAAAATAACAATTTTCATTTTTTTTTTCTTGAAAGTAAGTAGAAGGGAGAAAATGGGCATTAAAATTTGCTCAATTATTGCTACAATTCCGAGAGTATATTATCAGGAAAGTAAAGCAAAACTTAATAGTTGAAATTTTTGCATAAAATAAGTAAACAAATGCAAGAATACTAATTTTCTCTTTTCATATCATAAGTAATCAAACTTTTTTATAAAATTCTCTTTGGAGAAATAAATATATTATCGATTTTATTTCAATTCTAAAATTTCTTTTCTCTGTTTTTCGATTTTAAATGATCACTTCGTTTCATCTTTCCTCTTCAACATCGTCAATAAAATTATTTACATTATATCCTATGAAATATGCTTTTCCTGAGGAATCAATCCAAATATAGTAAGTACCAGAAAATTGACAGTAATACAGAATGTTATTCAATAAGTGTTATACTTAATGAACGTCTAAGCAATTCCTGCTATATTTCTCTTTCCCGAGAGATAATGCTTTTTCTTCATTCAACAATACCAATCAACCAACAGGTGCAACTTTTAATGAAACAGAGGCAGAGAAGTTGCAAACCTTATATCGCTTACCTTATTTTACCGTACCGTGATGCTTTTTATTAGCATTTGTCCACAAGGGAAAAAAAAGAAAGCGTAATATCAGTTGATTTAAATAAATTAATTTAAAAAAGTATTTTTTTCAACATCATACTTTAATAGAAATATCATCAAATGATTACCTTTGAGCATTTTCTGTTTTTTTATTTTTCAAACTTAACAAATTCACACAAATTTTTAGCACTACAAATGAGTAATAGTGCTCATTTTTATCTTATAATACATTACATAAAGATTAAATAAGTCAGTTAATATTTAAAGAGATATATTTTGAATTTTATTTATGATGAATGATTTTCTGTATGGACATTGCAAAGTAAAATGCTCTTAAAAAATTCAACAAATAATGTAATTGTTGCGAACTTATCGTTGTTTTTTTTTTAAATGCACAATCTGCTAGCGAAATAAAAAATAATATAAAGCATTATATAGAAAAAATTTTTTTGAATCTTTTTTTAAAAAAAAACATTGCCTTTAAGCGTTTGGATGTACTAAATGTCAAATATAACATTCCAATATTTGTTATCAAATTTCGATTTCAAATTAGTCGCGTTGTTCTCTAATTCAAATCAAAAAATTGCA